CGGAATTCCCTGGAATTGTCCCTGGAGGCGTCGGAGGAGGCGCGGAAAGTTCTGGAATCGCGGCTGGAGGAATTCCAGGATCAGCGGGAAAATCGGGAAAAGCTCCAGGAAAAAGTGGCAGCCCTGGAGGTACCGGGATGATCCAAAAAATCCAATTTCCTTGGAATTCTGGGGGGTTTTAGGGAATTCTGGGGGGTTTTTGGGGAAAAAACACCCAAAAAAATTCCCAAAAAATTCCCAAAAAAAATCCCAAAAAAATTCCCCAAAAAATCCCCAAAAAAATCCCCAAAAAAATCCCCCAAAATCCCAAAAAATCCAAAAAAATTCTCAAAAAATTCCCAAAAAATCCCCCAAAATCCCCAAAAAATTCCGAAAAAAATCCCAAAAGAATCTCAAAAAATCCCATAAAAAATAAAAAAATATTCCCCCAAAAATCCCCAAAAAATCCCCCAAAAAATCCCCAAAAAATCCCCCAAAAAATCCCCAAAAATCCCCCAAAAATCCCAAAAAATCCCCAAAAAATCCCAAAAAACCCAAAAAAATCCGGAAAAAATCCCCTAAAAATCCCATAAAAAATCCCAAAATAACCCCTAAAAAAATCCCCAAAAATCCAAAAAAATCCCCCCAAAATCCCAAAAAATCCCAAAAAAATCCCCTAAAAAAATCACCAAAAAAATCCCCCAAAAAATCCCCAAAATCCCAAAAAATTACTCAAAAAATCCCAAAAAATCAAAAAAAAAAATCCCCAAAAAAATCCAAAAAAAATTCCATAAAAAATCAAACAAAATCCCAAAAAAATCCCCAAAAAATCCCCAAAAAATCCTTAAAAAAATCCCAAAAAATCCCAACAAAATCCCTAAAAATTACTCCAAAAATCCCAAAAAAATCCCAAAAAAATCCCCAAAAATCCCCCCAAAAAATCCAAAAAAATCCAAAAAAACCCCTAAAAAAATCCCCAAAAAATTCCCAAAAAATAAAAAAAAAAAATCCCAAAAAATCCCAAAAAAATCCCAAAAAAATCCCAAAAAATCCCCAAAAATCCCAAAAAACCCCTAAAAAAATCCCCAAAAAAATCCGAAAAAATCCCCAAAAAGATCCCAAAAAATCCCCAAAAAATCCCCCAAAAATCCCCAAAAATCCCAAAAACACCCTAAAAAAATCCCCAAAAAAATCCGAAAAAATCCGAAAAAATCCCCAAAAACCCCCCAAAAAATCCCCCAAAAATTAAAAAAAAACCCCAAAAAATCCCATAAAAAATCCCCAAAAAACCCCCAAAAAAATCCAAAAAAAATCCCAAAAAATCCAAAAAAAACCCTAAAAATTACTCAAAAAATCCCAAAAAATCCCAAAAAAATCCCAAAAATCCCCAAAAAAATCCCAAAAAAATCCCCAAAAAATCCCAAAAAAATCCCAAAAAAATTCCCAAAAAATCCCCAAAAATCCCCCAAAAAATCAAAAAAAAATCCCAAAAAATCCCAAAAAAATCCCAAAAATCCCAAAAAAATCCCAAAAAATCCACAAAAAAACCCCCAAAAAATCCCCAAAAATTCCCCAAAAAATCCAGAAAAAACCCTTAAAAAATCCCCAAAAAACTCAAAAAAAATCCCAAAAAAACCCTTAAAAAATCCCAAAAAAACCCCAAAAAATCCCCAAAAAAATCCCCAAAAAACCCAAAAAAATCTCCCCAAAATCCCAAAAAATTCCTAAAAAAATCCCCAAAAAATCCCCTAAAAAAGCCCCCAAAAAATCCCAAAAAAATCTCCAAAAAATCACAAAAAATCCCCAAAAATCCCAAAAAAACCCTTAAAAAAATCCAAAAAAAATCCCAAAAAATTACTCAAAAAATCCCTAAAAATCCCAAAAAAATCCCAAAAAAATCCCAAAAAATCCCCAAAAATCCCAAAAAATCCCAAAAAAATCCAAAAAAAATCCCAAAAAATTACTCAAAAAATCCCAAAAAATCCAAAAAAAATCCCAAAAAAAATCCAAAAAAAATTCCATAAAAAATCAAAAAAAATCCCAAAAAATCCCCAAAAATCCCCCAAAAAATCCCCAAAAAATCCCAAAAAATCCCAAAAAATCCCAAAAATCCCCCAAAACCCCCCAAATCCCCCCAACCCCCAGGAGGAGCGCGGGGCCCTCCGGGATTCCCTGGATTCCCTGCGGGCTCGGGAGCGGGAGCAGCGGCTGCGGCGGAATTCCCTGGAATGGCGGCTGGAGGAATCGCGGGCGGAATTGCGGGATTTGGGATCGGAGCTGAGCCGGGAGCGGCTCCAGCGGGAGCAGCTCCAGGAGGCCAAGGCCGAGCTCCAGGACAGGCTCAGCAAGGAGGTGAGAGCCCGGAATTTATGGAATTACGGGGGTTTTTATGGAATTTTGGGGGTTTTTTATGGAATTCTTGGGGGTTTTTATGGAATTCTTGGGGGTTTTATGGAATTTTGGGGTTTTTTTATGGAATTTTGTGAGGTTTTTTGTGGAATTTTGGGGGTTTTTATGGAATTTTGGGGGGATTTTTTATAGAATTTTGGAGGTTTTTTATGGCATTCTGGGGGTTTTTTTATGGAATATTGGGGTTTTTATGGAATTTTGGGGTTTTTATGGAATTTTGGGGTTTTTTTATGGAATTATTGGGGTTTTTTGTGGAATTTTGGGGTTTTTTGTGGAATTTTGGGGTTTTTTGTGGAATTTTGGGGTTTTTTTATGGAATTTTGTGAGGTTTTTTGTGGAATTTTGGGGGTTTTTTATGGAATTTTGGGGTTTTTTTTTGTGGAATTATTGGGGGGTTTTATGGAATTTTGGGGTTTTTTATGGAATTTTGGGGTTTTTTATGGAATTTTGGGGGTTTTTATGGAATTTTGGGGTTTTTATGGAATTCTTGGTGGTTTTTTTTGTGGAATTATTGGGGGTTTTTATGGAATTTTGGGGTTTTTTATGGAATTTGGGGGTTTTTTATGGAATTCTGGGGGTTTTATGGAATTTTGGGGGTTTTTTTTAATTTTGGGGTTTTTTGTGGAATTATTGGGGGTTTTTATGGAATTCTTGGGGTTTTTTTATGGAATTTTGGGGTTTTTATGGAATTCTTGGGGTTTTTATGGAATTCTGGGGTTTTTTGTGGAATTTTGGGGTTTTTTGGGGGAATTTGGGGGGGTTTTTATGGAATTTTGGGGGTTTTTTATGGGATTTTTTGGGGGGGTTTTATGGAATTTTGGGTTTTTTTATGGAATTCTGGGATTTCTCATGGAATTCTGGGCATTTCATGGAATTCTGGGATTTTCCATGGAATTCTTGGGGTTTCGTGGAATTCTGGGATTTTCCCATGGAATTCTGGGGGTTTTTCACGGAATCCTGTGATTTTTCATGGAATTCTGGGGTTTTCCCATGGAATTCTGGGGGTTTTTCATGGAATTCTGGGATTTTCCCATGGAATCCTGTGATTTTTCATGGAATTCTGGGGGTTTTTCATGGAATTCTGGGATTTTCCCATGGAATTCTGGGATTTTCCCATGGAATTCTGGGGGTTTTTCCATGGAATCCTGTGATTTTCCATGGAATCCTGTGATTTTTCATGGAATTCTGTGATTTTTCATGGAATTCTGGGGGTTTTTCCATGGAATCCTATGATTTTTCATGGAATCCTGTGATTTTTCATGGATTTCTGGGATTTTTCCTGGAATTCTGGGATTCCCACCCCCCATAACCCCCATCCCAACTCCCCAAACCCCAATTTTGGGACGATCCCATCCCGAAATTCCCGTTTTTTCCCCACCCACAGCTGGAGCAGATGACGGAAGAATCCCAGAATTCCCTGGCCTCGCTCCGATCCCAACTTCAAGAATTCCAGGAAAAATCCCGGCGGGAACTCACGGATTCCCAAAAAATCGCCCAAGAGCGCCAGGCTGAGGCGGAAAAATTCCAAGAAAACCTCGGGAAGCTGCAGGATGAGGTTGGTGGGGGATCAGAGCGGGGGAATTTTTGGACTTTTTTTGGGAATTTTTGGACTTTTTTGGGGGGAATTTTTGGATTTTTTTGGGGATTTTTTTTTGGGTTTTGGGAGAATTTTTTTGGGATTATTTTTTGGGATTTCTTTGGATTTTGGGGGAATTTTTTGGGATTTTTTTGTGATTTTTTTTTAATTTGGGGGGAATTTTTTTACTTTTTTTGGGGAATTTTTTTGGGTTTTTTGAGATTTTTTTGGGATTTTTTTTTGGGATTTCTTTGGATTTTGGGGGAATTTTTTGGGATTTTTTTGAGATTTTTTTTTAATTTTGGGGGAATTTTTTGACTTTTTTTGGGGAATTTTTTTGGGTTTTTTGAGATTTTTTTGGGGATTTTTTTTTGAGGATTTCTTTGGATTTTGGGGGATTTTTTTGGGATTTTTTTGAGGGTTTTTTTTTAATTTTGGGGGAATTTTTGGACTTTTTTTGGGGATTTTTGGACTTTTTTGGGGGGAATTTTTGGATTTTTTTGGGGATTTTTTTTGGGTTTTGGGAGAATTTTTTTGGGATTTATTTTTTGGGATTTCTTTGGATTTTGGGGGATTTTTTGGGATTTTTTTGTGATTTTTTTTTAATTTTGGGGGAATTTTTGGACTTTTTTTGGGGAATTTTTTTTGGTTTTTTGAGATTTTTTTGAGATTTTTTTTTTGGGATTTCTTTGGATTTTGGGGGAATTTTTTGGGATTTTTTTGAGATTTTTTTTTAATTATGGGGGAATTTTTTGACTTTTTTTGGGAATTTTTTTGGGGTTTTGGGAGAATTTTTTTGGGATTATTTTTTGGGATTTCTTTGGATTTTGGGGGAATTTTTTGGGATTTTTTTGTGATTTTTTTTTAATTTTGGGGGAATTTTTGGACTTTTTTTGGGAATTTTTGGACTTTTTTGGGGGGAATTTTTGGATTTTTTTGGGGATTTTTTTTGGGTTTTGGGAGAATTTTTTTGGGATTTATTTTTTGGGATTTCTTTGGATTTTGGGGGAATTTTTTGGGATTTTTTTGAGATTTTTTTTTAATTTTGGGGGAATTTTTTGACTTTTTTTGGGAATTTTTGGACTTTTTTGGGGGGAATTTTTGGATTTTTTTGGGGATTTTTTTTTGGGTTTTGGGAGAATTTTTTTGGGATTATTTTTTGGGATTTCTTTGGATTTTGGGGGAATTTTTTGGGATTTTTTTGAGGTTTTTTTTTTAATTTTGGGGGAATTTTTTTACTTTTTTTGAGGAATTTTTTTGGGTTTTTCGAGATTTTTTGGGGATTTTTTTTGAGGATTTCTTTGGATTTTGGGGGAATTTTTTGGGGATTTTTTATTTAATTTTGGGGGATTTTTTGGGGATTTTCTGGGATTTCTTTGGATTTAGAAGAAATTTTTTGGGATTTTTTTGGGGGATTTCTTTGGATTTTGGAGGAAATTTTTGGGAATTTTTTGGGGGAATTTCTTTGGATTTTTTGGGGGGGAATTTTTTTGGATTTTGGGGCAATTTTTTGGGGTTTTTTTTGGGATTTTCTGGGATTTCTTTGGATTTAGAAGAAATTTTTTGGGATTTTTTTGGGGGGATTTCTTTGGATTTTGGGAGAATTTTTTTGGATTTTGGGGCAATTTTTTGGGGTTTTTTTTGGGATTTTTGGGGATTTTTTTTCCCAGGTTTCGCGGTTGAAGGAGACGATCCAGGAAAATCGGGAAGAGCGGGATCGGATCCTGCTGGATAAGGAATTGCTGCTCCAAAGGTTCCAGGAGCTGCAGGAGGAGCTGGAAAATCGGAAGAGATCCCAGGAGGAGCGAGCTCGGAATTCCAAAGCGTTGGAGGTGGGAATTCCTCCAGGGGGAAACAAAAAATTCCCGGGAAAAAAATTCCTTGGGAGATTTTTTTTTTAAGGGTTTTCCTAAAAAAATTTAAAGAAAAAAAAAAATAAATGGGGAAAATTTTGTTAAAAAGTTTTTCATAATTATTGGGGGGGGTTGGAAGAATTCCCGGTTGGAATTCCTGGAAAATTCACCCCCAAAAAAAAAATTCAGAAAAATGTTACAGGGGAATTCGCAAAGAATTCCTGAAAAATTCCCCAAGAAAATCCCAAAAAAATTCCTGAAGTATTCCCAAAAAATTGCCATAAATTCCCCAAAAATTCCCCCCAAAATTCCCAAAATATTCCCCCAAAATTCCTGGAATATTCCCAAAAAATTCCCTAATAATTTCCCCCAAAATTCCTGAAATATTCCCAAAAAATTCCCCAAAAAATTCCTGAAATATTTCCCAAAAATTTCTGAAATATTCAAAAAAATTCCCAAAAAAATACCAAAAAATTCCCAAAAATTCCTGAAATATTCCCAAAAAATTCCCAAAAAATTTCTGAAATATTCCAAAAAAATTCCCTAAAAATTCCCCAAAAATTCCTGAAATATTCCCAAAAAATCCCTAAAAATTAAAAAAAAATTCAAAAAAAAGTGCCCAAAAATTTCCCCAAAAATTCCTGAAATATTCCCCAAAAATTCCCCCAAATTCTAGAAATATTCCAAAAAATTCCCCAAAAATTCCTGAAATATTCCAAAAAAATTCCCCCCAAAATTTCTGAAATATTCCAAAAAAATTCCCAAAAAAATCCCCAAAAATCCCAAAATATTCCTGAAAAATTCCAAAAAAATTCCCAAAAAATTCCCCCCAAAACTCCCAAAAAAATCCCCAAAAATCCCAAAAAATTCCTGAAATATTAAAAAAAAAATCTCAAAAAAATTCCCCAAAAAAATCCCAAAAATTCCCAAAAAAATTCCTAAAAAAATTCCCCCATTCCCAAGGATTTTTCCCACTTTTTCCCCCAATTCCAAGGAATTTTTCCACCTTTTCCCCCCCAAAATTCCCACAAATCCATCCCAAATTTTTCCCCGTTTTCCTTTTTCCCTCCGGAATTCCGGGAATTTTTTCCCCCTTTATTCCCTGGGAATTTCCTGTCCGGGAATGGATTTTTTTTCCCAAAAAATTCCCAAATTCCCTCCAGGAAAAATCCAAACGTTTGGAATTGGAGCTGGACGAGGAGCGGAGCTCGGTGGAGCTGCTGAGCGAGAGGGTGACCAGGAGCCGGGATCAGGTAAAAAAAAAACCCGGAATTCCCGGAATTTTTCCATGAATTTTCCCAAAAATTCCATGAATTTTCATCCCATCCTTTCAGAATTCCAATCCTTTCAAGGATCCAGCCCAAAATTCCAGCTGGGAATGAGGATTGGAAGAAATTTAAGGGGAAAAAAAGAGGAAATTCCCAAAGAAATTCCGGAATTTTTTGGGGTTTGGGGCGGGAATTTGGGGAGAGAATTCCGAGGGATTTTTGGGTTTTTATGGAATGTTGTTCCCGCTTTTTTTTTTATTTAAATCCGTAAAATTTCGAGGTGGGAAATGGGAATTTTTTTTTTATTCGGATTTTTTTTGGTGTTTTTTCCGGGCGGGAAAAATTCCTGGGATGGATTTCCCAGAATTCCCGGAAATCCATGGAAAATCCATGGAAATCCATGGAAATTTGATGAAAATCCATGGAAAATCCATGGAAAACCAATGGAAAATCATGGGAAAATTCATGGAAACTCATGGAAAATCCCATAAAATCCATGGAAATCCATGGAAAATTCCAGGAAATCCATGGAAATCAATGGAAAATCAATGGAAAATCCATGGAAACCCATGGAAAATTCCAGAAAATCCACAGAAAGTCCATGGAAATTCATGGAAATCCATGGAAAATTCAAAAAAATCCATGGAAAACCCATGGAAACCCATGGAAATCAATGGAAAATTCCAGAAAACCCATGGAAAATTCCAGAAAATCCATGGAAAATCCATGGAAAATCCATGGAAAATTCCAGAAAATCCATGGAAAATCCATGGAAAATTCCAGAAAATCATGGAAAATTCCAGAAAATCCATGAAAAACCCCAGAAATGCCTGGAAAACCCTGGGAATTCCCGAATTTTCCATGTTTTTATTCCCAGATCGAGCAGCTCCGGGCTGAGCTGCTCCAGGAGCGTTCGAGCCGCCAGGACCTGGAATGTGACAAATCCTCCCTGGAGCGCCAGGTGCGGAAAATCCCGGGAAAAAAATCCCCAAATGGATCCCAAATTTCCGAGGAATTCCGGGAAAAGAATCCTCGGGAATGGGCTCGGCATTCCCAGGGCTTTTCCCGCCTTTTTCCTGCCTTTTTCCCGCCTTTTTCCCGCTTTTTTCCCGCTTTTTTCCCGCCTTTTTCCCACTTTTTTCCCGCTTTTTTCCCGCTTTTTTCCTGCCTTTTTCCCGCCTTTTTCCCGCTTTTTTCCCGCTTTTTTCCCGCCTTTTTCCCGCTTTTTTCCCGCTTTTTTCCTGCCTTTTTCCCGCCTTTTTCCCGCTTTTTTCCCGCTTTTTTCCCGCCTTTTTCCCGCTTTTTTCCCGCTTTTTTCCCGTTTTTGGGGTTTTTTTCCCACTTTTTCCTGCTTTTCTTTGATTCCCAATCCAAATTTTTGGGGTTCTCTGCGCTCTCCCAGGGTTTTCCATGCAGAATTCCCACTTTTCCCTCCACAATTCCCACTTTTCCCTTCACAATTCCCATTTTCCCTTCACAATTCCCACTTTTCCATTGACAATTCCCATTTTTCCCTACAATAAACCCCACAATTCCCAATTTTCCTGCACAATTCCCATTTTCCCTCCACAATTCCCATTTTTTCTGCACAATTCCCACTTTTCCCTTCAATAAACCCCAGAATTCCCAGTTTTCCTTGAACAATTCCCACTTTTCCCTTCACAATTCCCAATTTTCCCTCCACAATTCCCATTTTTCCCTACAATAAACCCCAGAATTCCCATTTTTCCCTGAACAATTCCCATTTTCCCTCCACAATTCCCATTTTTCCCCACAATAAATCCCAAAATTCCCACTCTTCCATGCCCAATTCCCATTTTCCCTCCACAATTCCCATTTTCCCTGCACAATTCCCATGTTTTATTGCACAATTCCCAGTTTTTATTGCACAATTCCCATTTTCCCTCCACAATTCCCATTTTTCCTTGAACAATTCCCATTTTCCCTTCACAATTCCCATTTTCCCTTCACAATTCCCATTTTCCCTCCACAATTCCCACTTTTCCCTTCACAATTCCCATTTTCCCTCCACAATTCCCATTTTTCCTGCACAATTCCCAGTTTTTATTGCACAATTCCCATTTTTCCCTTCAATAAACCCCACAATTCCCATTTTCCCTCCACAATTCCCACTTTTCCCTCCACAATTCCCATTTTTCCCTCCACAATTCCCATTTTCCCTCCACAATTCCCACTTTTCCCTCCACAATTCCCATTTTTCCCTCCACAATTCCCATTTTTCCCTCCACAATTCCCATTTTCCCTTCAATAAACCCCACAATTCCCATTTTTCTTGAACAATTCCCACTTTTCCCTCCACAATTCCCATTTTTCCCTCCACCATTCCCATTTTTATTGCACAATTCCCATTTTTTATTGCACAATTCCCATTTTCCCTCCACAATTCCCATTTTCCCTCCACAATTCCCACTTTTCCCTCCACAATTCCCAATTTTCCCTTCACAATTCCCATTTTTCCATTGACAATTCCCACTTTTCCCTCCACAATTCCCACTTTTCCATGCCCAATTCCCACTTTTCCATGCACAATTCCCATTTTTCCCCCCAGAATCCCCCCAAGAATTCCCAGAATTCCTCCCCGTTATTAAAACCGGGATAAAACCCGGGAAATTTCCGGGAATTCCGAGGAATTTTTGGGAATTCTTGCCCAGAATAAGGAGCTGAAGAACCGGCTGGCGGCTTCCGAGGGGCAGCAGAAACCCGGGAATGCTCGGAATTCGCAGCTGGAATCGCAGCTGGAAGAGCTCCGGGATCGGCTCCAGGCTGAGGAGAGGTACCCGACCCCAAATTCCCGAATTATCCCGGAATTCCCGGGAAAAACGGGAGGGGATTCCTTGGAATTGAGGAAATCCTAAAAAAATTAAAAATCCGTGAAAAATCCGTAAAAAGTTGGGAAAAAATCCGTAAAAAAACCCCAAAAAATCACCCAAAAAATCAAAAAAAATACCCAAAAAATCCAAAAAAATACCCAAAAAATCCCCAAAAATCCACTAAAAATCCGTAAAAAATCCATAAAAATTTGGGAAAAAATCTGTTAAAAATTCATAAAAAATCCGTAAAAATTTCGTAAAAAATCCATAAAAAATCCGTAAAAAATCCATAAAAAATCCGTGAAAAATCCATAAAAATTCATTAAAAAATCCATTAAAAATCCATAAAAATTCTATAAAAATTCCATAAAAATTCCATTAAAAATCCATAAAAAATCTGTAAAAATTCCATAAAAAATCCATAAAAATTTGGGAAAAATCCGTAAAAAATCCGTGAAAAATCCGTGAAAAATCCATAAAAAGTCCGTGAAAAATCCATAAAAATTCATAAAAAAATCCATAAAAAATCCATAAAAATTCTGTAAAAATTCCATAAAAATTCCATAAAAATTCCATTAAAAATCCTTTAAAAATCCATAAAAAATCCATAAAAAATTCGTAAAAAATCGATAAAAATTCCAAATAAAATCCATTAAAAATCCATTAAAAAATCCATAAAAATTTGGGAAAAATCTGTAAAAAATCTGTAAAAAATCCGTTAAAAATCTGTAAAAAATCCGTTAAAAATCCACAAAAAATCCATAAAAATTCCATTTAAAAAAATCCATAAAAAATTCATAAAAACCCCCAAAAAATCTATAAAAAAACCATAAAAATTCCAGAAAATTCCCTGGAATTCGGTTTTTCCCTAGGGAGAAGAGCGTCCTGCTCTCATCCAACCGGAAGCTGGAGAGGAAGAAGCGACAGCCAGAGGGATCAGGTGGGGCCGGAATTCCGGGAAAATCACGGATTGGGAAGGGTTGATCCCGGAAATTCTGGTCAGGGTGGGATTGGGAATTCCGGGATGGGGTGGGAAAGGGAAAAAAATTCCTTAAAAATCCCCAAAAATATTCATTTAAATTAGTTTTTAATTAGTTTAATATTCGTTTAAAATTTCCTTTAAAATCCCTTTAAAATTCCTTTAAAATTCACTTTCAAATTCCCTTAAAAATTCCATAAAATTCCCTTTAAAATTCCCTTTAAAATCTCTTAAAAATCCCTTTAAAAATCCCTTAAAAAATCCCCTTAAAATTCCATAAAATCCCTTTAAAATTCCCTTTAAAATCTCTTAAAAATCCCTTTAAAAATCTCTTTAAAAATCCCTTTAAAAAATCCCTTAAAAATTCCATAAAATCCCTTTAAAATTCCCTTTAAAATCTCTTAAAAATCCCTTTAAAATTCCTTTTAAAATCTCTTAAAAATCCCTTTTAACATCTCTTAAAAATTCCTTTAAAAATCCATAAAAATCCCTTAAAAATCCCATAAAATTTCCCTTAAAATCCCTTAAAAACCCCTTTAAAAATCTCTTAAAAATCCCATAAAATCCCTTTAAAATTCCCTTTAAAATCTCTTGAAAATCCCTTTAAAAATCCCTTTAAAAATCCCTTAAAAATTCCATAAAATTTCCTTTAAAATCCCTTAAAAACCCCTTTAAAATTCCCTAAAAAATTCCATAAAATCCCTTTAAAATTCCCTTTAAAATCTCTTAAAAATCCCTTTAAAAATCCATAAAAATCCCTTTAAAAATCCCTTAAAAAATCCCTTAAAAATTCCATAAAATCGCTTTAAAATTCCCTTTAAAATCCCTTTAAAAATCCCTTTAAAAATCCCTTAAAAACCCCTGAAAAATCCCATAAAATTCCCTTTAAAATCCCTTTAAAATCTCTTAAAAATCCCTTTAAAAATCCATAAAAATCCCTTTAAAAATCCCTTAAAAAATCCCTTAAAAATTCCATAAAATCCCTCTAAAATTCCCTTTAAAATCCCTTTAAAAATCCCTTAAAAAATCCCTTTTAAAATCCCTTAAAAATCCCATAAAATTCCATTTAAAATCCCTTAAAAAATCCCCTCCCATTCCCACCCACCCGGGATCCTCCCGAGCCCTTCCCAAAATCCCGAATTCCCGGAATTCCCAGCTGAGCCTGAGGGTGAAGGCCCTGAAGCGCCAGGTGGACGAATCCGAGGAGGAAATCGAACGCTTGGAAAACGCCCGGAAAAAATCCCAGCGGGATCTGGAGGAGCAGCAGGAGCTGAACGAGCAGCTCCAGAGACGCCTGAAATCCATGGAAAAGGAGGCCTGGTAATCCAAATCCTTCCCAAATCCATGGAATTCTCGAATCCGTGGGAAAAGAATCTGGAATTCATCCAAAAAAAAAAAAAAAAACCCCACCCCCCGTGAAATTCCCGTGGAAATTCCCGCCTGGAAAAGCCTGGAAATTCACGGAGAGGGTTTGGAGTTTATGGGAAAGGTTCCTAAATCCAATGGGGAAAAGTTCTTAAATCCGTGGGAAAGTCGCCAAATCCATGAAAAAAATCAGAATCTGTTGGAAATATCCAAAATCTGCTGAAAAGGCCGGGAATTCCATGGGAAAGGCTGGGAATTCCATGGGAAAGGCTGGGAATTCCTGCTGAAAAGGCCGGGAATTCCATGGGAAAGGCTGGGAATTCCATGGGAAAGGCTGGGAATTCCATGGGAAAAAAACCCAGAATTCCATGGAAAAAACCCCCACAGAATTCCATGGGAAAGGCTGGGAATTCCATGGGAAAGGCCGGGAATTCCATGGAAAAAACCCCCAGAATTCCATGGGAAAGGCTGGGAATTCCATGGGAAAGGCTGGGAATTCCATGGGAAAGGCTGGGAATTCCATGGAAAGGCTGGGAATTCCATGGGAAAGGCTGGGAATTCCATGGGAAAAACCCCCGGAATTCCATGGAAAAAAACCCCAGAATTCCATGGAAAAAAACTCCAGAATTCCATGGAAAAGAAAAATGGAATTCCATGGAAAAGACCCAGAATTCCATGGGAAAGGCTGGGAATTCCTTGGGAAAGGACCAGAATTCCATGGAAAAACCCCCAGAATTCCATGGGAAAGACCCAGAATTCCTTGGGAAAGGCCCAGAATTCCATGGGAAAACCCCAGAATTCCATGGGAAAACCCCAGAATTCCATGGGAAAGGCCGGGAATTCTATAGAAAAAATCCCAGAATTCCATGGGAAAACCCCAGAATTCCATGGAAAAAACCCCAGAATTCCATGGAAAAGGCCGGGAATTCCTTGGGAAAGACCCAGAATTCCATGGGAAAGACCCAGAATTCCATGGAAAAGGCCGGGAATTCCTTGGGAAAGGTGGGGAATTCCATGGAAAAACACCAGAATTCCATGGAAAAGGCCGGGAATCCCTTGGGAAAGGCTGGGAATTCCATGGAAAACCCCAGAATTCCATGGAAAATGCCGGAATGTTCCCCGCAGGCGCCGTGCCGTGGACTCGGCGCTCCAGGACGAGCGGCTGAGCTCGGATGAGGAATTCGGATCCGCAGCCTTCGCCTCCCTCCTGAGCGAGGCCAACCTGCAGGCCAGCTCCTGCTGAGCCCGGAACGCCGGGAACAACGGGAACGACGGGAACGACGGGAATTCCGGGAATGATGGGAACGACGGGAATGACGGGAATGCCAGGAACGACGGGAATGCCAGGAATGACGGGAACGACGGGAATGACAGGAACGACGGGAATGACGGGAACGACGGGAATGACGGGAACGACGGGAATGACGGGAACAACGGGAATGACGGGAATGACGGGAATGACGGGAATGACGGGAATGATTCTGGGAACGACGGGAATTCCAGGAATGACGGGAATCCTGGGAATGATGGGAATCCTGGGAACGACGGGAATTCTGGGAATGACGGGAATTCTGGGAATGACGGGAACGACGGGAATTCCAGAGCTGATGTCAAGACCTGGGATCGGCTCCGGGATCGGCTCCGGGATCAATCCCAATCCAGGATCAGCTCCGGGATCAATCCCGATCCGGGATCGACTCCGGGATCAGCTCCGGGATCGATCCTGATCCGGGATCAGCTCCGGGATCAATCCCGATCCAGGATCGGCTCCAGGATCAATCCCGATCCAGGATCGGCTCCAGGATCAATCCCGATCCAGGATCGGCTCCAGGATCGGCTCCGGGATCAATCCCGATCTGGGATCGGCTCCGGGATCAATCCCGATCCTGGATCGGCTCTGGGATCAATCCCGATCCGGGATCAGCTCCGGGATCAATCCCGATCCGGGATCGGCTCCGGGATCAATCCCGATCCGGGATCGGCTCCGGGATCAGCTCCGGGATCGATCCTGATCCGGGATCAGCTCCGGGATCAATCCCGATCCGGGGTCGGCTCCGGGATCAATCCCGATCCGGGATCGGCTCCAGGATCAGCCCCCTCCTGCTGATTCCCGGGAATTCTGGGGGGATTGGATCCGGAATCAGCCCAGGAATTCCAGCCGGGATCAGCCCCGGGAATTCCAACCAGGATCGGATCCAGGATCAGCCCCGGAATTCCAACCGGGATCGGATCCAGGAATTCCAGCTGGGATCAGCCCCGGAATTCCAGCCGGGATCAGCCCCGGAATTCCAGCCGGGATCAGCCCCAGGAATTCCAGCCGGGATCGGATCCAGGAATTCCAGCCGGGATCGGATCCAGGAATTCCAGCCGGGATCAGCCCCGGAATTCCAGCCGGGATCAGCCCCGGAATTCCAGCCGGGATCAGCCCCGGGATGCGGCTGCTCCCCAGGAAAAAATTCCCAGAGTGACACCAGGAAGGAAAGAGGGGCTGGGACCCCCTTGGGGACCTCCTGATTCCCAAGAATTCCCAGGAATTCCCGGAATTTCTCAGCTCCTGGGGACGCTTCGGTGGAATCCTGGGATTTCCGGGATTTGGGAATTTTATTTCCACCCCTCCCTTGGGCTCCTCCCGAAGGCGTTCGGAATAAAATTCAGCGCTTCGAAGGGAATCGTTTGGAATTTTTGGGGAATTCTGGGTGGGATTTGGGAATTCTCAGGCAGGAATTGTCGGGAATTCGGAGTGGGAATTCTCTGGGGGGGGGAATGTTTGGAAAATCTCGGGAATTCGTGGGGGAATCGTTGGGAATTCTGGGTGGGAAAGCCCCAAAGTTCCCCAAAACTCCAGAATTCCGTAAAATTCCACAGGCACGGCTTTCCCCCACTTTTATCCCACTTTTATCCCACTTTTATCCCACTTTTATCCCAATTTTCCCCCACTTTTATCCCACTTTTATCCTAATTTTATCCCAATTTTATCCCAGTTTTAATCCCAATTTTATCCCAATTTTCCCCCACTTTTATCCCACTTTTATCCCAATTTTATCCCAGTTTTTATCCCAATTTTATCCCACTTTTATCTCACTTTTATCCCAATTTTTATCCCAATTTTATCCAAATTTTATCCCAAATTTCCCCATATTTTTATCCCAATTTTCCCCCACTTTTATCACAATTTCCCCCACTTTTATCCCAATTTTATCCCAATTTTATCCCAATTTTTATCCCAATTTTTCCCCACTTTTATCCCACTTTTATCCCACTTTTATCCCAATTTTATCCCGATTTTATCCCAATTTTTATCCCAATTTTCCCCCACATTTATCCCAATTTTCCACCAATTTTATCCCAATTTTTGCCCAATTTTTATCCCAACTTTATCCCAATTTTATCCCAGTTTTTTCCCATTTTTCCCAATTTTTATCCCAATTTTCCCCCAATTTTATCCCAATTTTTATCCCAATTTTTATCCAAATTTTTATCCCAATTTAATCCCAATTTTCCCCCACTTTTATCCCAATTTTATCCCAATTTTACCCCAATTTTATCCTAATTTTTCCCCCACTTTTATCCCAATTTTATCCCAATTTTCCCCCAATTTTTATCCCAATTTTATCCCAATTTTCCCCCACTATTATCCCAATTTTATCCCAATTTTTATCTCAATTTTATCCAAATTTTATCCCAAATTTCCCCATATTTTTATCCCAATTTTCCCCCACTTTTATCCCAATTTTCATCCCACTTTTACCCAATTTTATCTCAATTTTATCCCAATTTTATCCCAATTTTATCCCAATTTTATCCCAATTTTCCCCCAATTTTATCCCAATTTTCCCCCACTTTTATCCCAACTTTATCCCAATTTTATCCCAATTTTCCCCCAATTTTATCCCAATTTTATCCCAATTTTTTCCCACTTTTATCCCAATTTTATCCCAATTTTATCCCAATTTTTATCCCAATTGTTCCCCATTTTTATCACAATTTCCCCCAATTTTATCCCAATTTTCCCCAAAATTTTATCCCAATTTCATCCCAATTTTATCCCAATTTTTCCCCCACTTTTATCCCAATTTCATCCCAATTTTATCCCAATTTTTCCCCCGATTTTTTCCCGCTTTTATCCCAATTTTATCCCAATTTTATCCCAATTTTTCCCCAATTTTATCCCAATTTTATCCCAATTTTTCCCGCTTTTATCCCAATTTTATCCAATTTCCCCCCAATTTTCCCCCAATTTTATCCCAATTTCCCCCCAATTTTCCCCATTTTATCCGAAATTCCCCCAAATTCCCTCCCTTTGGGGGCGTGGCCTCTCTCCACTGGGCGTGGCCCCACCTCCCCCCATATATAGTCATGCCCATATATGTACACACCGAGAGGGGGCGTGGCCAAACCGACAACACCGGGGGCGCGCCAAAGGGGGCGTGGCCAAGCCGATTACATTCCGCGGGGGCGGAGGGGGCGTGGCCAGGGGGCGTGACCAACCCGATTACATTCCGCGGGGGCGGAGGGGGCGTGGCCAAAGGGGGTGTGGCCAACCCTATTACATTCCGCGGGTGCGGAGGAGGCGTGGCCAAAGGGGGTGTGGCCAACCCGATTACATTC